ATTGCCTACCTCGAAAACCCATGCAGTTCAGTAATTTATTTACATATTCAAATCTGCGTCATATCACTCAAAATGATAAGAATCCTGTATGTTTTGTTGCATTACAACATTTCTAGGGCACTTACTAAAATAAAGTAATGTATTACTACACATTATAAGAAAAATATATATTTTAATATTTAATATTATGATCATTATAACATATTATAACACTAGACAGGGACTTAGGATTTATCTACATCCCTGAATTTACAATTAAAATTAAAGGTTTGTCATGAGCAAATAGGTTAGCCGTTATTTAGATTTTTTTAAATTTTGAATGTAGCATTGTACAACTAGTGCATATATTTTAAGTACATTCTTATGACAACTGCTCGTATAATATATATTGTGAATATGTTTTTAAAGCATTGAATTATTTGGGAATTTTCCTTCATAATAATGTGACTTAACATAATATAATAATAATAAATGGGTTGAGCAACTTGTCTTACAAAATACCAATAAATGAAAATCAGTTGTACCTTTTTGTACGTGTAGTGTATTTTCAATGTTATAAGCAGGGCTTAAATCAAAAATAATAATACAGTTATATGGATATTGAACGTTATGATCGAATGACTGTTTAACGTTATATGTATATTAAATGTTATGGTCGAATGACTGTTTAATGTTATAAAAATTTAAACGTTATGAAGCGTTTAGCGTTATCTGATGGATATAGCTTGTTTCCTACACAAAACAGAATGATTGAAAAATATAATATTACAAAAATAACCATAATATATATTTTAGTGATAGTTATAATTTTATAAATATTTTTTTTTCAGGCAATTAGATATTTCAATTGTTCATTGTTTCTGTTTTGTTATCCGTCATCCGTTTCCAATCGTTTATCATTTACTGATATGTTATCCGTTATCGATTTCAATCGTTTTTTGAATTGTTTATTAAAATTATACTCATAACGTTATAAAAACGTTTTGAATTACTGGTTATAAGTGTCAATTTTGGGGGCCCAAAGTCGTATCTCTTGTGTTTGGAAATTAATCTTGAGGTTAAGGACATTTTTCTAAAATTTACTTCTTACAAAATAAGTACCTACCTATACAATAGTTACTAAAATAAAGCAACTTATTACACTTGAGTGCATAGGCGGCACTTGGTAGAAACTTATGTGGGTGCAAACGTTTATGGTAATAACATTCACAAATCCATAGGGAAGTTGCCCCCCAGTACCCCCTAATATATTATAACTATTGCTACAACAAATGTAGTTAAAAAAAATTTCTTTATTAATAACTATTCCAATTGGGTCTCTGTATTTCATGAATATATATTTTATGAATATGTAAAAAATTATTAAAAAACAACTTTTTATTTTTACATAAATAATAATGAAAAAAAAAATTAACTGTGTGTAACATAATAATTACTAGGTAGGTATTTGTCAACTTCACTACTTCAGTGTCAAACGACGATCTCTTATTGAAGCATCAAACTTGTCAATTATATTATCAAAATCTATAGTGTATTCTTTTTGGATATATAAGATTACTAAACTGCTCAATCGCTCTTGACTCATTGTGACTCTTAAGTATGTTTTTAATTTCCGTAGAGCTGAGAAACTGCGTTCATTAGATGCAGTATTTGTAGGAATAGTTAAAAAAATCTTTAATATATTTGTATAATTTGGGAATCCTGTCTGAATATCTTTAGATCTAATATAATTTATCTTTTTTATAATTGTATCACATTCATGATTTATAAATAATCTATTTACTATTTTTATCTCACTTGATAAATCATTTGATTCTATTTTGTATGCATTACAAACTTCCTCTATTGACTGATTAGTAGAGTTTTTATTAAATAAGACATTATTCATAGAATTCAACAAACTTAAATAGTTTTCTTTAAATTTACTCTTCATGCACATCATTACTGTATCTATAATTCCAAAAAATACATTTATACGAAAATGATCTTGAACAGTCTGTATAGTTTGTTTTTTGCCACCACCTAATTTTAATGGTACTGATTTATGCGTGGTAGGTTAGGCTCACTAAAACCATTATTTTTTGAAACAATAGTAGCCTTTTCTCATAGGTACTTTCTAAAAATTGTCATCTGTTCTCAATTCTTCAAAACTTTTTATAGCTTAATTAGCTTACTGCATTATTTAATTATTATTATTAGTATTTTAACATTTAATCACGGACTAAGATTTTAGTCCGTATAATTAATTAATTATTTGATTAACTAATTAATTGAGTAATCAGATATAAAATATTGAAATGATCCATGGTTGTTTTTTAATATCAAAATTACATTATATTAGTATAATTGTTAACAATAAAATAATTAAAATATTTTTTACTGTTGTGATTGTCTGTGTGTGGGTGCAAAATGATACTTTTGCCCCCCCCCCCAGAAAAATTGTCGTGGGTGCAACTGCACCCTCATGCCCCCCCTAGTTTCCGCCTATGCTTGAGTGTGGCTATTTTTTTGTATTCTAATACATCCATATAGATAACTGAAATTTAATGTACCTAATATGATTAAAATGAAGGTTTTGTTATTTGTGCCTGAATCCCTGAATGGTAATACAAAAACTCATGCAGTTGTATGTACATTGTACCTCATTTAAATCAGAGCCGTCAGACCCAAATCAGTATAATTATTAATTTATCTTTATATGCAAATGAATATATAGTAAATTACACTTTTCATTTTTAAGTTAATCTGTATCATACAACGTAAGTTTTGATATAAAAATGTACCTATGTATAAAGTAGGTAGCATTAATTATTTTTTTTATCAATAAATTACAATACTTAATGAAATTTGTAATCCTTAAGCGGCTAAGTATATACTATTGTTGCTATATTGCTTTCAAATTGTATGTAATTAAGTGTAGTTTTTATAATAATATATTCATACTTTGGTTTATACAATTTTATATAAAATATATAATATATTGCTATAATATACCATCACTAAAATATATAATTAATTGAAAGTTTTTGTTTAATTTAATAAAAAAAAGAAAATATAATATACACTTGTTTAACCTAAAAGTGTTATAAACTATAATAATTTGTTTAAACTTATATACAAAACTGCAAAGGCTAGGTCCGCATTTTTAAATTTATTCACATGTTCCAAAATTAAAAGAAAAATATATGTTAACCAATAAAATACCTAATGTCATGAAAATATGAATGTTTAGTTTTTTTTATTAAATAATATAATATGATGTTTGTTAAAGTAAACACCAGAGGTTGCTAAGATTTTACTGAAAATAGCCTAAACATGATAATCCTATTTATGAATACTAATAATTGAGTATTTACTTGGTAAATCCTACAATATCTACTAAGAATTTACTAAATCTTAAGTAAGTTTATATAATTCCAACTAAGTTCTATGATTAACGAATATAGCCAATGAGTAATGGTATACCTACCATGTTGAGTGTTTCTTTTAACTGATAATTTTTTTAGATCTTTTCCACAATAAATATTGAGGAATTTTTGTTTAGAAGTGAAGAGAGTTTTTAATGTTGGTGAAAAGCCTTGTACACATCATAATCATATATGTGCTATTGTGGTTCAAAGTTATCCAGCACTCTAGATAACTTTGTATCAAATAAAAAAAAATTAAATAGATGAAAGAAATTGTATGCTTTTTATAGAGTATCCTCAAAATACTGTAGGTATTTATGACAGTTATGAGTTCTAACTTATAATTAATTTGAGTAATATTTGACTTTGTATAAATCAAATTTCAATTTATTATTATGAAATACTACAATCTCTTTTTGGTTTGACCTATGTGTTAAAATATGAGGTTTGCCAATTTTTTATTATTTTTCATTTTTCAATATCCGTGTTAACCACAGATACATCAATTCATGTATGGAATAGGGAAATCTGCGCTTAGAACACCTACCTACCTACCTGCAATATATAAAGTTACATCTAACCCTCAAAACGAAATTTGGACTATTTTTATTAGAATTTATCATTTCTATTGTTCCTATCGAAAGTTCATATTATACCTACGTACAATAAGTAATGGCACTATGAAAAATAAAACAGATCCTAACAATGGAGATAGATGTGTGAGACTGAAAGTATTTTTTATCTTAACACCATAAAGGTTTTAAGGAATTTCCTTCAGTAAAATGCCAACAAACGTCATAAATTGAACAAAAATAATATGGTATTTGGTGGGAAACTATACTAGATACTGATGAATGTGTTGGTTTTACAATGATGCGTTAAAAAAATTTTTTTTTTGTTTTTGTTATAACCTTTAGGGCAGTAAAAATGCTTCAATTCTCAACTTCAGCATCTTATTTGATGAGGAAGTGAATCTATTTGGTGCATTGGGGTGTCAACATTTAAAATTCCAAGTAGTTTTCAACACAAAATTTTCCTTAAATATATACGGCTTAAAATTAAAAACTACTTGGTTGATATGTATTCGACAAAGTTAATCCGGTACTAGTCGCAGAAGTTACAAAGGTGGTTCTATAGTTAGAGACATGAAAAATGAGCTCAAGCCTCTGCTGTTTGTTGTTCATACCCACAATTGTAACTATTGGATCACAACATTTATCTGTAGTGCTGCTCATATACCATAAAATGAATTAATTATAAAAATAAGGGTTTCCTATAAATGAACACCAATATTATAAATAATTTTAAATTTTAAAAATGTTTATGAATTTATTATTTGGATACTATAAAAAAAAATGGTTGGCACTCAGTTTCCGTGCCCCTAATTATAGAAGTTTTGTCTGAGTATATAACACTGCAAACAGCTAACCTTTTTATTAAATTATTTGAGGCACTTAAAAAGTTAATTTACTTCTAAACTAATTATTGATGATGGGGTTATAAAAGTTTAGTAAAACACAATTTTTAACAAAAAAATTAAGAATTGTATAAAGAAGTTCAAACAACATGTAGTTCAAATGACAGTATTATTATTTAATTTGTATTATTTAGTTCATTATCGTATTCAATTTCCACATGAGGTCTGCCTTTGGGTTTGATTACTTTTTTGATTTTCTTAGCGGCGACATCCTATTAACAAAATATATATATATACATTAAATAAGTAGATCATAAAGTATAAATAATGTTTTGTAGAATACCTCAATATCTTCCATTTCTTCTTCTTCGCCATCAGAACAAACATAATCAGATACATCATCACCATCTTCTATTTCATCGTCTATATCGAACATCTCATCGTTATCATCTCCAATATCAGACTCTTCTTCTCCTACAGTGTACTCATCAGCATCCTCATTCTAAATAATATATTTAACATGTAAAATTAATGAAATGTGCATATTTATGTATTTTTAGTATTAAAAAATAATATGTTATAAATTGATAGATTGATTTGATTTTCTATTAAGGATGTCAGTTTTTGCAATTCTCCGAAATTCTATAAAATTTGAAAATACTATTTTATATTTTAGTTATTACCTTAACGATAATAATTTTCCACTAATCTACAGCTCAATACATATTTGTGTAGGGGGGGGGTTGATATGGTGTATTATATCAATGAAAATTACTTCACAGGAAACACTCTCTTGCCCAGTAGAATAGTCGAATTTTATTAATTTTTTTTATTTAAAAGGAAGAAAATTTTTAGGCCGAATTTTCATTTTACTTTAGATAGTGGTAGAAAAATACGTTTGAAAAGTACAAATATTGTACATTATTCAAATGCATATTTTAGCTGCTATAACCATAATTTTGGAAATTAAGCTTTGACCTAACCTGCAAAATGTTCTCATTTTTAAAAAATTTTTTTTTTACAAAATCCGACTATTCTACAGGGCATGAGAGTTTTTTCTGTAACACAAGTTTTTGTGCTAAAAAAACGCACCGGCAGTGAAGCCCTTAATTTATCAATAACAACGTGGGAAGAATAAGTTGCAGTAGTTTCTTATCACCTAAGGTATCTATTGACTGGTACCTATTTAGAGGCGGCAACAGTGCATGATAATACAGCTGCCTTATCCTACTCGGTCACAACTAATATATTTATGGTAACATTATGCTTAATTAATCATTATATACGTACATCTTCATCTTCTTCACCTTCTTTCTCAAGTGCTTTTTCGAATGCTTGTTGATTAATATTATACATATCACCATACTAAAAAAAAAATATATATATTATAAATTAAAACTAAGTATTGTAGTTATAAGTTGTTTTAAGTATTCAGCTTGTAATGGTAAATTTCAAATTATTTGGGCACGGATGTTGTTTTACTGTTAAAATGTATTGCTAATTACGTTGTAAATGTGTTTCACATTAGTATGAAATAAAATCTAAACATTTTAAATGCAATTTTTGGTTTCAATTTTGTTGTATTTATGAAACCATTTAAAGTATTTTTCAATTTTGTGCACTTAACTTTACTTTGGTTTTTACTTATCAAATTCAAATAAATGTTTTGAGTATGAAAATATTGAACACTTTTAATCAAATTTGATGATGTTTGAGGTAGTAGTTTAGATTGTTTAAAGAACATGTATAATATTTATTTTTATTTTGTAGAATTTAAATATTATTTAAAAGAAAGAAAGATGAAAATAATTGTGAAATTATGTTTATTATAAATTAATAATAACGAAACATTTTTGCTGATTTAATGGTGCAATACTTCAATCAATTTAACTATTTTTATACTACTACAATATAAATGCCCTACCAATTAGCTTTTTTCAACTAATTGAAGTTGACAATTAAGTTTATGATTAGAGATAGAGATTTTTCGACTTGTTTAAAATTTAAGTTAACTTGCAATTTTTACAAAATTTTTAACTTAATATATAACAGTGTAATATATATTAATAATATTATGAATAACAGCCTCCCCTTACTAGTCTAAAAAAAATATTCTAAAATAACTATTTTATAGTATTTTTTATACCTTGGTAAAAGGGAGACTGGTTATTAGTCATAGGTATAATACATTTTTTTAAAAAGGCACTTGGGGGTTATTTTAAATATCAAATTACAGCTACTGACTTTCCAATTAATTAACATACTGTAGGTATTAACATACCTATATTATTACATTTATTTTAATTTTCTATCATATAGCTTTGTATCCAAAAAAGTATATATATTTTACAAAAACAATAAAATTGTCAAACTGTGAAATAATATTTTTTAAAAGGCTGTACCTACATTATTCTATTTATTTAAAAAAAACTTAATATAAAAGTATTCTATCTGATAATTAATTGTACACGTAAAAGAAAATTACTCAGGTAAAAACATTTAATTTTAATTTTTGTAAAGGGACCATTTAAAATTACTGTTGTGGGGGCTCACTGATTAGCCAGACCAACACTGTTTTATGCAGCGCTAACCAAGCAACAAATTTGTCAAGCAAAAATATTTGAATATTTTAAGAATCATCAAATTATTTAATGCAATATGTGCACAAGCGATAAACATTATACCATATTATAATATAATTAAAACAATTATTTTTATTTATGCTCTTATTGATTTTCCAGAATAATTAAATAATGAAATCAGATACACAGATAGGGCATCTTTAATTGTAATATATCTTATTTATTTATTAATTAAAAGCACAATATTTGTTTCCTCCTCAGTTTTCCCTCTGTGGCTTATTTATATTGCACTGATTTCCTACTAAAACTATAATTTTTTTTCTATTCATGTATTATTTCAAAATTAAAATTTTTTATTTAGTAGTTCTGTTTGTTTTATAAGATTTAGGGCATTTTTGGTGTTTTATAGGTCATCAATCTTATCTCAACTTAGCATTATAACATATATAAAGCATTTTATCTAAGACATGTAAAGGGGTTGGTGAGTGAAAAGTGAAAAGCCCCCCCAGTAAATATTTAAAACTAAAACAAATTAATGTTGGAAATGTTATATAGATGTTTAAACACCATGTAAAACATAAATTCAAATAATGTTGAGCACATACAGTTCCTTTCTTGAGTCTTTCAACCAATTCTTTCTCAATAACATTATCAAGACGAGCAGCAATTTCAGCTTTATATTCTCTTCTTTTAACTCGTCTTTCCACTTTTCTTGGCAATGATACTAATTCTCTCCTAAAATATTAATAATTTTAAATTTATTATATTAGTAAAATAGTAAGTTATAACAAATATTATACTGATGTTTAATGATAAAAAATTAATATCTTACTGAGTTTTAAGTTTGAGTTTTCTCATTCGAATTAAATATTGAGTAATTCGTACAAAACGCTGTTTACACATAGACTTCAATGGACCTGGCCAATAAAGCATGTGTTCATTCATTTGTTGTATAGCTTTTTGGAAATTTCTTGATAATTTTATCTTTTCCCACTGTCTTTTTGGATAAACCGATCTACAAAAAAAATATTGATAATAATAAATTAATTCAACAAATCAACTAATACAATACTAGTACTAAAATCACACCTTTCAGCAGTTTTTAAGAAGAGATATATAATACCCTTCTCTTCTCTTACAGTAGCATATCTGCTATTAGCCAACGGGCAGTGAGTGCGATTGCACAAACCCGATAAATTATATTCATTTCGGCAAAAATTTGAAGTGTCCGTCCTAAAATTGTATTTAAAACATGGATTAGGTAATCTCTAATGCATTGATGTATAATATTTTAATATTAATAGTTTACTTGATTTTGAATGAACAAAATGTATCTTTTATAATAGACCAAACAATCTGAAAAAAAAGAAGATATTAATTTTAAATATATTTTGGTAAAAGTTCAATAATATTACATACTAAATAGTTTATTAATTATCAGGGTTCAACGCTTTATGCATTTACATATATTATAATGTAACTTAACACAATGTACAGATTTAGACAAAAAATTAGTAAAATGTTCAGATTTTTACATACATACAAAATATTTTTTTTATAAATAATAAATCAATATCCAATACTGATCAATAATCATGTTTATGGAATATTTTAGTACATATTTCATAATTGTTTATGTGTAATTAATAGTAAAAAATGTTCAATGTTGTTAGTTGTAAATTTCAAAATGTTCCTTATCAAAACAATAATGATCAGTGGCGTATACTGGGTGGTGCAAATGCAGCACTTGCACCACCACATCTAAAATGTGGTGGTGCAAAGGTATGTTTTTGCACCACCAGAAAATCATTGAAATATATAATATATAAAGAGGTACAAAATAGTTATTTTCGTGCATGTATTAGACATTATCATTTAAATTATTACCCTATCTATATTCTAAAATATCGTACAACCCCCATAAATAGTTAGATTATTATCTATGGTAACCACTATCCACAGAATTTTGTATTTTATTATGGCAGTATCACAGAATCACGATTAAAGATATTATATCTTTAATCGTGCACAGAATAGACGTATAATATGGTAAAATTATATTGCTATCAACATTCTACCGCCAAAATAGTGTGTTATCACTGGATCAATGTTCATTCAATTCTCAAAAGTCAAATGTCAGATGACAGCTAGACGTCGTATTGAATCAAATTTTAAAATTCTCTACAGGTTTCATAAACGTCAGAAAAACAGGAATTTTTACCCGAAATCGGTTTTCGATAAAATCAATTTTGGTTTTTGACCAAACAAATGAACATATACATATATAATTGAAATATTCACTGGTTGGGTAAAAAAGCTTGGAAATTTAATAAAAGGCTCCAACTATATTGTTACAATGACATTAGAAAATTATTAAAAATCCTTAGTCACAGTTTTTTTTATAAGCATTTAAAGTTCAAATCTTGACAAAATACAGAAAAATCACGAAAATTAACAATATAATTTGAGTTGAAAAAATCATAAAAATGTTTCTTTTCAAATCTAAGATTTTAAAATGTAATACAAGATTATTCATAAGTTTGTATACGCCTTTATCAAAAAAAAAATGTCCACAAGTAAATCAAATTACATTTTTATGAGCATTTGAAAATCATATTTTTACAAGATTGGATATTCACTAGATTTCTCATGTAGCGATTTTGTTAATTTGTTGTTATTCAAACAAATAACTGTAATTACATGAAAATTTATATATTTATATTTTAATTTTCTATACACCACAAAGTTTTGAAAATATTTTAACTCTCTTTGAGCTGTTTCCGGGCATTGTCATTTTTTAATTTTTTTAGTTTTTTTTTTCTATAAATATCAATAAAATTTTATTTGTTGGGTAAAAAGCGTGAAAATTTAATGGAAGGCTCCTGATATATTGTTACAATAGCGTTGAAAAATATTAAAAATACATAGCCACAATTTTTTTTTATAAGCATTTGAAGTTCAAATGTTGACAAAATGTATGGATAAATATATAGTTTTTTTTTGTTAGGAAGGATTTTACTTAGAAAGTTGGATTATTTTTGTGTTGGAAATTATAGGTTAAGAATATGCACCTCTGCACCACCAGAAATTGGACCCAATTTACGCCACTGATAATGATACTATAAAATATGTTACTGCTGTAAGGCCCGGATTTTGATGTAAAAGCATAAGTAGGTAGGTTCATATTCATTCTTACAATTAACTCAGAATAATTCTGATTCAATACGTCAACTTTTCATGATAGTGAATAAATTCTATATTAAGTACCAACCTATACTCTGTTCAAAATAAGATCGTGACCCGGCGGCGACCAGTTTTCGTCGGGCGGCGGTCAGACATATGGCCAGATGCCGTCCCCACTACAGCGACGCGTCGAGCGCAGCCACGGAAAAAAGCCACGCCCATGCGCACAACTCGGCCGCCGGGTCACGATCTTATTTTGAACAGAGTATAGGTAGTTAAAATTTTTTTTTTTTGCATATTTGAGTAAAAATTAATTAAGTTACATAATATTTCTAGATGATTGCATACAATTTGAATATATTATATAAATAAAATAAAATTATTTAAATTTATTTCAAAGTTTAAAAGTGATGTGTTACCCGAGGTGATAACTAAATGCAATTTTGATAGATTTTGAAGATAATCAACTAATTGGCGAAATAAATGTATCATAGATTGAATATTTTATACTACACTGAATTTATATTTTATAATGTGCTACACATTCCATTTTAATTGTTTCATAGGTACTAAAAAATATGTTTTATTTTTATATAAGTTGTATTTATTATACATTTTTTATGTACTTTTATGTTCTTTACATATTTTTTGCATAAAAAATCTGTCCCTAGTTATTAGCATAATTTTAAATGAATATGTAATATTATAATACATTTTGCAGTATTTAATGACAGCTGAAGATATATTTCTTCATATTATTTTGAATACTTAAGTAATAAAATATCAACAGACTAACTATGAGCAATCAAAACACAATATTATTGTTTGATTACCTATATGACAACAAATTTATACATAAAATATTCCAATAACATTTTATAGATTTGGATACAGACCAAAATCATAGACATTGTACAACAATATGAGGTGTCTACAATCAGAGTACTTTAAAACAACTACAAATCATAAATCAACTTTACTATTTACTATTTAGTAACAATATGCAGAAGAGAAGACTTGATTAATTATTATTGATGTAATTTACTCATCTATTTAACTATGTTAACAAAAATCTAGACAAATGTAGGTACTTTACTCAACACTATATTTTTAAAATAAGTCATATATTAAAATATAATGGTACACAGTCACAGCAGGTATGACGGGTATACAGGTATATTTTTGTAGGAAGATGATATACAATCGACTCTCTGTAACTTGAAATTTTCGATATCTCGAATAATTAAAATTCTCCTTCAAATAACAATAACACTTAATGTTTAAATAATCTTGTTAACTCAAAAATTAATTTGACAAGTTTCCGACTCGGTTTTCGATATCTCGAATTTTCTTATCCAAATTTAGTACTCAAAATAGTTCATCAAGGCGATTATTTTTCGTAAAACCCGACCATTATAGTCAACTACATACATACTTGTAATTTAAACCTTGATAACTCCATACAATAGATATCAGTTTTAGTTCTATGCCGTCTGTTCGTTTAATCGTTTATCGTGTGAGTGTGACAGTGTTAATACAGTGGTTATTATGGCTCAAAGAACATTAGAAACATTACGTAAATATATTGAAAGCAATGAAGGTATGGAAGATTTATTTAAACCACTAGATATTTTAGAAAATAAAATTGAGAACAATGTTTTAAATAAACAAAAACAATTAACTTTACACCAATTTTTTTTTTTAAATGATAATATGTAAGTAGGAATGTATAGTTAAAATGTAATGTATTCATAATAATGTATAATGTATTTTATAGTATTTCCTTAATGTAAAATAATTTTAAAATAAACATACTTTTTAGAAGTTTTTGATAACTCGAAATTTTTAGTAAGTCGAATTTTTTTTCCCCCCCTTGAATTTCGAGTTACCGAGAGTCGATTGTATTATAATCTAAGCTCTGCGGTAGGTAGGCACCTATTATTATAGTACTAACTACTAGCTGCTGGAACTTGTATTAGTTGGATTCGTTAATAATTAAATTATATTTTACTTACATCATCTTGATCCATATTGGTAAGCTAATGTTTGTACGATATCATCCACAGCTAAAAGTCGGGACTTGCAGTCGTCGGACAGGAACACCGGACGCACATGTACAATAAATATTAAATAATAATGTCGCAATACACGGCACGCCACAAGTCGTTACGGTAAAATACGTCGGTGCCAAATACTAAATAGTAATCACGAAGACGGCAACATTTTAAGGTTAGGTCACGCAGGTACAATGTGCGGTTAGGATGTTTCGTTTGTCGTGCGTTCACAAAACGTGGGTTTTCCACAACCAAACGACACTTGTTATAATATTTTCTCTTATTGGGCTCTTATCAGTTATCAGTATAGACCGTGGTTATCATTGACGCGGGAAGTCGGCCGCATTCAAATATTTAATGTTTATTGTTTACGAATTACGAAACGCGTTTTGTATTCGTATCACTGTATCAGGACTTGCAAACGTCATAATAACGTTATATTAGACAAAAAATGATTTAAATTTGTAAAGGTAATTATAATGGAAAGCGATAACCAAAAATAGGTAATTAAATACTGCAAAACAAAACATAACGATTAACAAAATATATTATATACAATATAACAAAACATAATGCAAAACGTAATTTACAGAATACCATTGAACAAAAAATAACGCAAAACGAAATAATTTAAAATCAATTTATTTAAAAGTTATATTGGTTTCGTAGAAATATTTATTTCATGTATACGGACATTAGAATTGATTATATTATATTCCATATCCGGGCCAGGCCATTACCTGCTAGCATTAGTTATTTACATTTAATAGGTTATAAATAACGATAGACGCAAAAATTGTATAATATTTTAATTATAAATAACGATAAACGCAAAACTTGGATAACGTTTTAATTCTGAATAACTAGGTATAAACTCCAAACTTGTTGAACGTTTAATTGTAAATAACATAAAACAGAATTTTTTTTCGAATGCAATCCCTGAATCGTAATGCTAAATTGCTTGATTTGCGCGTTTAGACGTGTACCAAATATTTTAAAATTATTATAAATTATTTCCTTGTATTGGTTTCAGAGTCCCTGATCATTATTCATTATTTTACTTTACGTCCAGAGCCTGGACTCAAGACCTATACTGAGTAAATTATAATATCTACTTGTGACTTCTTTAACTTATTCGTAAGTTTTGTTGTTCACTGCCCTGAAAGTCATTTTAACTACACAAAATAGCAGGGTTTTTATAATGATTTTTTCTGACTGCACAAACTTATTTCTACTCTTGGGTTATAGTAGGGAATTTGTTTACACAGACCAAACCCTACGGACTGTTTTCCGTTGAACTATCAGGGGGGCCCCCAAAGCGGTAATTCTAAACAATTGTATATTGTTAAAAATAAATGTACAAAAAAAATATTATCTGAAGATTATGACTTTGTAACCCCCTTATCATGTCTCTGAAGCCGCCCCTGTGAAATTTACTGTGCCGACTGCCGGCTATACTACTTAGGGCCGTTCTTACGACGTCCGGTTAAAGTTAACCGACACTTAACCGGAAGAATTCTGCCGGTAATAAAATCTGTTATCAGTCGGTTAGCGTTAACCGACACTTTACCGGACATTGTAAGAACGGCCCTTAGTAGGTACCTACTAACCTACTGTCTACTGTATACTGTACTATCTTTTTTTTTTTTTATTTATTTGAAGAAATCTACAATCTATACATGCTTTTTGTACAATAAATAGGTTTGATATATGAAAGGTAAAATATGATATGAGTAGTTAGATTAGGGAAGATACCCAGTGGTAACACCCTATAAAATACTGTACTATCTACATTTTTTTACTTTCATAAGACTGCATATAGGTAGGTACGGAAGCGTTGAAGGGCCAACCATATGTTTTTTTTATCTCATTATTATGGATTATCACAAGTCATTATTATAGATTATAACTCGTAATAACCATAGACATAATATAGATGGACTGCGCGTTCCTCCCCCCTCGCCATCAATAAATTCAGCCATAATAACAAGACATGAGAAGGTAAAATAGCATGGATAAAACATTTTTACAGTTTTTATTCCAAGGTATATTTTGGTTTAAATAAGAGTGATAACTGATAAGACTATTGATTCCGTATTTCCGTATCATGGAGGAAAGCAGGCTGTTAGATAAACATTTTTCCATGATTATTTACCTTCTACATAAGTTTATTATTACTGACATGATAAGGGCTGAACGCGCAGTCCATCTATATTATGTCTATGGTAATAACGGATTCGACAACTCGTAATAACGGATTGACAACTCGTAATAACGGATTGTACAACTCGTAATAACGGATTGGATAACTCGTAATAACGGATTGGACAACTGGTAATAACGGATTGGATAACTCGTAATAACGGATTGGACAACTGGTAATAATGGATTGGATAACTCGTAATAACGGATTGGACAATGGTACGATAGTTATCGTACACATACAATGATTTAAGCCATTTGTATTTTGTGCGAATATTGTAGGTACGATCAGTGTCGCGAGAATTGGGGAAAAAAAATCCCCGTTAGCATTATACCGGGGATTGACTATGTACAAATAATTTAAAAGAATTATGATATTTTTTTATAAATTATATATATAATAATATTATATTAAAAATAAAATAAATATTGTATATTATTATGTTAAAAATGTCTTATACCCTAAAATTACAATATATATGTTTATATATATATATTACCTAGATGGTTAAGTACAGTGTTGGCCTGGGACACCAAAGGCCCATAGGATCAGTTTTTTAAGGGGCCCCATAATGGAATACAAAATTTACTTGACATTTTGGTGAAAAAATGCTCACCAAATGTTTTCCTTTAAAAATACATTTATTCAAATTCTGATTTTTAGAATTATTATGTATACCTAAAGACAATATATATTCAAATTCCTGATATTTTTTGTACTACTATTAAAGAGTGTCTTGTGGCTATACAAACTTAAATTTTTCAAATGACAATTTAATTTTACAAATTATTTATCTTGATAGCATAGCCGTGCGCAGGGGGGATGCTGGATATGCCATGGCATCACCTGTAGAGTTAGCACAACCTATATAGTTTTTAGTTGTAAATGTTTTGATTATAAATTAGAATCATGAACTAATTGATAGTTTATAGACTATAGTATCTCAGTTCAAGAATTTAAATATTTTGATTATTTTTTTTATCCTATTTTCTTAATAATAAAATATTCGGAGTTCAGACAAAATAAAATATTAATTAGATTTCATAATTATATTTTCATAATCACTACAGGTAGGTAGGTACCTAAAAATAATAAAATATATTGCTAACTCATAACAATATAGTTGAAATCAAAATCAACCGTGAAAATTGCGGGTTTTGTCACCAGAAAATTCAGGCCCTTGCAGTATTACTTATTTTCATACTACATTATACAATACTATCAAAAATAAAATTAATTCGATTAGTTAGATTATCATTTTTTGTCATTATTATAATTTTATCAAATGCCTGCAGGTTTTTATACTGTTACTTTATTGGAATTATGAAATCACAGTACTTACAAGAATTTCAAATTAAAATATCTAAAACCAATAAATAAGCTAAATAAAATGCACGTTAATTTCTTTTCGCATTATATGGCAAGTTATTCGTACCTATTAAGAGTTTTTGGGGAGTTATTTTTTTATTGTGATAGACAGTGGCGTCCGCAGGGGGGGGTTGCTAATGGACTGAAGCCTCCCCATTTCCCTTATTATTATTACTTTAAAAAAAAGTATTTATCAAGTTTTTACTGTCAACTATAGTAGGTAAGCAAAACATAAATTTCATATATTATGTCTTACCAGAATGAATTCATTTTTGAAAAAACAATGTACCTATTTGCATACCAATATTCATAAGTTATCTGTAATTTTTTGGTAAAAGTTTTCCATGATTGTTATATAAATATAGTTTGTAATTTATTTCGGATTGCCTATCTAGGTGGCTAACTTGAAAGTTAATCTTGATTTTGACTTGAGATGATGACTGACTTGCTAGACACTCCAACACGGTTTTCGACTTTACACTTTTTACATAAGAAAAGGCACCGGACATGCGAAGGCACATACCACTCTATGTGATATACCTGCTATATATAGTTGATAGACGGATTGCTCATTTTAGTTTCGTCTTAAACGGTGATGATTAACTTGATAGACACTTTAACATGCAGGTATTTGCATTTTTTTTTTTAAATTAATATATTATATACAGTATACACTATAGTTAAACGTTTATATGTATTGTATTTGTTAATATAATAGCATATATCTAACTATCTACCTATATGTTAATTTTTTTTAGGAATTATAATTGCACATTTCTCAAAATGTTCATTGTTATATTATATCACACAATAAATACATATCATATTTGTTTGTATGTATATTGTATATAGTTTGAATTTTTTGTAAATTATTTCGTAAGTTGTGTGATAGGGTTTTCACTTATAGCCGCTTGATGTAGGGTCTGCAATCCACCGCAGGTGGATTGCCTACCTGATTTGCTATAGCACATTGTCCGCGATCCGACGAAGTCGGATTGCCTACGTAAGTGGTTAACTTGAAAGTTAATAGATTTTGACTTGAGATGGCTGACTTGCTAGAAACTCCAACAAGGTTTTCGACTTTACACTTTTTACATAAGATAAAGCACCAGTCATGGTATGTGCAGGTATACTCTATATAGGCATAAGCGTGCGCAGAATTTCTGGCAGGGTAGTCATATACAATAAGTACATAAAACATTAACACACACACATATTACGTACCTATATATTATAATATTCATATTCACACCTAAGTTATAATAACTAATTTGGACAGTGGCGTCCGCAGGATTTTTCAATGGGGGAGGCTTGAAAATTAGTTACAATTTTATTTTTATTTTGTCCAGTCTAATAATTTCAGACGTTTATTTGAGGTATTTTAAAATGTTTGTAACTTTTCAAC